GTAATGGGTTTGTCTTCATCTTTTTTTTTTCTAGTACACTTCAGTTTTTTTAGGGCAGTTTTAAGTTTATAGGAAAATTGATCAGAAAGTATAGAGAAATGTATCAGAAAGTATACATAACCCCTCTGCATCCACACTTTGCACTATATTGCTTTTTATTTCTTATTTGACCATGGTACATTTGTTAAACTTGCTCAGCAAATAGTGAGCATTGTTTGTTATCATAAATGGATGTTGGTTGGTGTCAAATCCTTTCTCATGCTTATTTCTCCTTCCTTTTATTTCTGAGTTAGTAATTTCTGTTTTCCTTCTTCATTGTCTTGACTGGCTGTTTATCATTTTACTAAATTAATATTTTCAAAGGATTACCTTTGGGATTTGAAAACTAGAAGAGTGTTTTTTTCTTTCAAAACTTGAAATACAAGGATACCTCAAATTGGGGGTTCTGTTCAGGACCACTGCAATAAAGTAAGTCACACTCATTATTTGGTTTCCCAGTGCATATAAAAAAAAAACTATATCATAGCTTATTAAGTATGCAGTAGCATTATGTCTAAAAAGCAATTTATATAGCTTTATTGCTAAAAAATGTTAACGATCATCTGACAACGTAGGGTTTCCACAAACTACAGTGAAACACAATAAAATGAAGTATGCCTGTATAGCATTTCAGTCCACTCTCTTCTTCCTTGTATGGTTTCTGAAAACATGTCTGATTTAATTCAAATCTTTTTTTCTCTGTGCAAATCAAAACTGCATTTAGGTACCACCTCACACCAGTCAGAATGACCATCATTAAAGAGACTACAAATAAAAAGTGCTAGAGAGGATATGGAGAACTGGGAACCTTCCTGCGCTGTTGCTAGGAATGTAAATTGGTGCAGCCTCTATGGAAAACAGTATGGAGGAACAAATGTATACACACACACAATGCAATACTATTCAGTTGTAAAGAAAGAATAAATAATGCCATTTGCAGTAACATGGATGGACCTAGAGGTTATCATACTGAGTAAAGTAAGTCAGAAAGAAAAAGACAAATATCATATGATATTACTTACATGTGGAATCTAAAATATGACACAAATGAACTTATCTATGAAACAGAAACAGACTCATGGATACAGAGAACAGACTGTGATTGCCAAGGCAAAGAGAGAGTGGAGACAGATGAATTGGGAGTTAGGGATTAGCAGATGCAAGCTATTAAATATAGAATGGGCAAACAGCAAGATCCTACTCTATAGCACAATGAACTGTATTCAGTAATCAACCATTGTGGCTCAGCTAGTAAAGAGTCTGCCTGCAATGTGGGAGACCTGGGTTTGGTCCCTGGGTTGGGAAGATCCCCTGGGGAAGGGAAAGGCTACTCATTCCAGTATTCTGGCGTGGAGAATTCCATGGACTGTATAGTCCATGGGGTTGCAAAAAGTCGGACCCAACTGAGCATCTTTCACTTTCCAATCAACCAGAATGGAAAGGAATATGGAAAGAAATGTATATGTATAACTGATTCACTTTGCTATACAGCAGAAATTAACGCAGTGTTGTAAATCAACTATATTTAAAGTAAATTTTTTTTTTTAGATAAGAGATTCATATTTTATTTTTAAATAAATAAATTTTTAAAAGTCTATGTAAACTAAGGTGTTTCTTCTACATCTTTTCAATATAGTCTTTCTTCCGTGTCAATATGAAATACGTAGGTGTGCATTTTCTTTTTTTATAATTTTCTTTTTATTCATTTGGTTTTGGCTGTGCTGGGTCTTTGTTGCTGTGCAGGATTTCTCTAGTGGTGGCAAGCGGGGGTTCCTCTCGTCGAGGAGCACAGAGTCCAGGGTGCCCGGACTTGAGTAATTGTGGCTTGTGGGCTCAGGAGTTGCAGTTCTTGCGCTCTGGTACCCAGGTTCAATAGTGTCTCCTGTACTGGCAGCCAGACTCTGTTTTATAGAGTGTTTTCTGAACTTGCTGCATTTGTGGTTTGCCATCAATGACTTTTTAAAAATATTTGTTTGGTTTTGGCTCCATTGGGTCTTAGTTGGGATCCATTGCTTCAGCACACAAATTCTCCAGGTGTGGCACACAGGCTAATTGTGGCCTTCAGGCTACATAATGGGCAGGCTTCAGTAGTTGTGGCAAGTGGGCCCTCCAACGCCTGTGCATGGCTTTGCTGCCCTGAAGCATGTAGGATCCTAGTTCCCGACCAGGGATCCAGCTCTTGAACCCCTGCATTGCAAAGTGGATTCCCAACACCTGGACCACCAAGGAAGTCCCCAGGCCTTGTACCTTTATTTTCTCTTTCTCAATTTTGAAAACAGTGGTTTTCCTGTGACTTCAATGCTCTGATGGATCTAAGAAGAGTTATTGATTTCAAATGTTTTTACATTTTTTCTATGAAGTTGGGAATGGCATCCAAGTTCTTTAAACTATTTATCTATTTATTTAGGTCACCTCAGATCTTAGTCATGGCACACAGAATCTTTGTTGTGTTGGGCAGAATCTTTTGTTGCATGCGGTGCTTGGACTCTCTGGTTACGGCACCTGGGCTCAGTAGCTGTGGCACACAGGCCTGGTCGCTCTAAGCCATGTGGGGCCTTAGACACTGACCAGTGATCGAAGCTGCATCCCCTGTACTGCAAGGCGAAGAGCTCCTAACCACTGGGCCGCCAGGGAAGTCCCCCAAGTCCCTTAAATACCAGGCCCAAAACCAGAGTTCTCGGACTCCCATTTTTGATGGTTGACTGCTGTTAACTTTAAAGTCTCACTCCCCCCACCCATTTCTCTTTTTTTCCCCATAGGTTTAATGGGTTTTATAAGTTTACCCCTTCAGTTCCTCTTTGCAGCACCCAGTATTCCTTTGAAACACCAGACAGACTCAGCAGTGGCCAACAGTCAAGTTTAGACCTCCAGAGTTTAAAAGTTCAGGTTCTAAAAGTAAATAAATAAATAAAAGTTCAGGCTGTCTGAGCATTCCATGTTACAGTGGCACTTATCCAAAATTGGTACCTCCCTATTGTTGGGGGAACTTTTAAATGTACCAGTGGAAAAAGCTTTTTCCTCTTTATGAGGAAGAAAGAAAATCATTCCTCAAACCGGGCAGATCTGGCTGTGAGGTCTTTCCTCCTGTCGCATCTCTTGTGGGTTTTTTTTTGTGTGTGTGTGTGTTTTTTACAGTGGAGCAAGGGACCAAAATCTCACTTTAGTTACAAGAAACAAGACAGTGATGGCTGGCTATAAAGGGAGTGACCAGAGCAGTGGTCACTTTACCTCCTACATCTAATATTTGTGCTTCACAGAAAAACAAAATTAACAGGTTCACAAAATACAACAGCTAGAATTACAAAACTCCGTTCATACAAGGGCAGTGGAGGGCAGGAAGTGGAAGTGGGAGGGGAAATGGCACAGGGAGAAACAGTATTCAAATCAGTCAAGGCTCGGGGCTGGCAAATGCTAGGAAAAAAAGCTGCAGAAAAACCTGTGGTCCTTTCAGACTCACCAGTGTTTAAAATCCACACTGGTGTCAGGAAGATTCTGCCTTACGTGCACCGGAGAGAAACTCCGGATTCCTCAGAGAGAAGGTAATGTATGCAGGGCCCTTCCCCTCATTTCTCTTTGACCCACACCTCTACATAGTGATAAGAGTGCCTTTGGTGCTCCTTTCTATTGGCAGTAACAAGACATTAAGCCCTCATAAGATCCTGTTCCTGTGTGTGAACCCAAACCTACCCCCTAATTTTTAAAAGAAGTCCAGACTCCTTTCTCTCTTAAGGCATTTCCTGACTGCTGGAAAAGTAGGCCTTACTTTTCCCAGAGACCTCAATTATGGGAAGTAAACCCTTTCATACACTATTGGCACTGTGTGCTGTCATCAGCGAAGGGATTCATATGTTCAGTGGTCAAGCCATCATACTTCTGTAGATCAGATAGGAGTGTTTGAGAATTAGAGAACTTGAGAGAACAGCCTCTAGAATGGCTGGTTTTGAAACCACTTCTTCTTGCAGTTTGAAAACAGATTTTAGGGTTGTTTGGAGGAAAGCACTGCTGAATCCTTCATTATATTTTAAGGTCAAATTGCCATGAATCCATTGTGATTTTCAATGAACACACTTGCAGTCTGCAGCTCTTAACCTGTTACTCAAGGTCAGCAAAGCACAGGGCACAGTGTTCTGGTTCTGCCATAAAGAGTGCTTCTGGCATATTATCCCACTGTGTGTGACTTTGTGTTCTTCTGAGCAGCCCCAAGGTGCATGAGTATAGGGAATTTGTGGTCTAAGTTGTGACATCTTCTTCCTAGTATCTGACTTCTAAATACCAAATAACTTTTGAGTCCATAAAATTGGAGAGAGAAAGGGAGAGCTGAGCCTGTGGTAAATATTACACAAGTTAAAAGCAATACATCCTGGTAGTCAAGATATTTTCATTCCACCAGCTGTATCACTATACTGCTTCTAAAAACCTGGAACTTCAGGACTAAATAGCCAGTTGGATCTTATTAAAAGCTGGATTTCTACTTGTCCTAGACACTCATGTTTGGTGATAGGCATAGAAGTAAAAGTTTCTAGTTCTTCACTATGTTTTTACTTAGTAAAGTTTTATGCAAATTTCACCCTCTGCCTCATAGAGTGCTGTTAATAGTGGGTAATAAGGGAGAGGGAAGTTTTCCTCACAAGGAATCCATGATCTTAAAATGATAATATTTGTTTCATGTGTGTAGCATTTCTGTCATTTCCCAACATGCTTGTACCCTGCGATGAGACAGAAATAATATCTGATGAGATCACGATAAACTGTGTAAATAATTTGCATGTTTTCATGATGCTGTTAAACTTATGAGGAAGTAAGTGTGGACAGAGAGTACGTTTCTCATAATCAAGCCAGAGAATAAATGCTTGCAGTTGACAGGCTCATACATAAAAATGAGTCTTCATATAAATGGTGTATAGATGTCCAGGGCTGTTAGTCTCACACATCCTCCTATGCACACATTTGGGATGCTTTAGGATTCAGTGACCTTTGAGGATGTGGCTGTGAACTTCACCCTGGAAGAGTGGGCTTTCCTGGATCCTTCACAGAAGAAGCTCTATAGAGATGTGATGCGGGAAACCTTGAGGAACCTGATCTCAATAGGTGAGGATGACAATTTGCCTTTACTTTGTTAATTAGTAACAACAAGTGTTTCTTACTCATTGTTCCAAGATATTAAATGTGGAAATGCAGAATATTGTTAAATAAAACTAGGTAAGGTCACAACCAACAATGGATATAGAATCTAGTCATTTTTCTATAACTAATCATATTTTGGAATCATTTTCCTTGATCTGCAATTTAGGAGAAAAATGGGAAGATCATGACATTGAAGATCAGTACAAAAATCAGGGGAGAAAATTAAGGTAAGTCGTACCCACAATATAATATAGTAACTCATGAGAGTATTCTGTTATGTTATGAAATTTTAAAAGGATGAAATAACTAGTGCACCAAATTTAGTTATTCTTGGAAAATTTTCACCAAAATTACTTATGTGACATAGATGTTCAGTGTTTACAAAATAGTTCAACACTTTAAATAAATTCTCTATATGAATTGTCACTGCTTTGATGATTGCAAGAGCATTTCTTATATTAAACTTGAAACCATTCAGACAAGGCATAAAACCTACACTATTGCTATAAGTGATAAAAAATGTACTTCAAATGTCCTACTAAGTATAAAATTGTTAATAAAGAACTCATTAATAATGTACTCCTTGTTTGCTTGTTTGTTTCCCACAGAAGTCATGTAGTTGAAAGACTCTGTGAAAGTAAAGAGGGTAGTCAGTGTGGAGAAAACTTCAGCATTATTCCAAACTTCAATCTGAGCAAGAAAACTAATAGGATGAAACCACGTGAATGCAGTGTATGTGGAAAAGTGTTTACACGTCATTCATCCCTTAAGAGACATATGAGATATCACACTGAACGTAAACCACCTGAGTATCAGAAATATGGAGAGAAGCCATATAGATGTAAGGAATGTGGTAAAGCCTTTGGCTATCTCCAATTTTTGGAGACCCATGAGAAAAATCACAGTCGAGAGAAAAAACATAAATGTGAGGAATGTGGGAAAGCATTCCATTCCCGTGCATCCTTTCAAGCACATGAAAGAATCCACACAGGAGAAAAACCCTACGAATGTAAGGAATGTGGGGAGGCCTTCATGTGGAGCACAGGGTTTCGAAGACACATGGTAACACACACTGGAAATGCTTCATATACATGTAAGGAATGTGGGAAAGCTTTTAATTGTTCCTATTCATTGCGAACACATGAAACAACCCACAGTGGAAAGAAACCCTATCAGTGTAAGCAATGTGGAAAATTCCTTAGATACTATCATACTTTTAGAACACATCAAAGGACTCACACAGGTGAGAAACCCTATGAATGTAAGCAGTGTGGTAAAGCCTTCAGTTGTCCTAGTTCTTTTCGGAAACATGAAAGAATTCATACTGGGGAAAAGCCTTATGAATGTAAGGAGTGTGGGAGAACCTTCAGAGGTCTCTCAAGCCTTCGAGCACACATGATCACTCACACTGGCGATGGACCTTATAAATGTCAGGAATGTGAGAGAGCCTTCATTTCTCCTAGTTCCTTTCGAATACATCAAAGGATTCACACTGGAGAGAAACCCTATGAATGTGAACAATGTGGTAAAGCTTTCAATTACTACAATTCCTTACAGTCACACAGAAGAACTCATACTGGAGAGAAGCCCTATGAATGCAAGGAATGTGGGAAAACCCTGTCCCATCAGCAAACCTTAAAAATACACATGCGGCTGCACACTGGAGAGAAACCCTATGAATGTAAACAATGTGGTAAAGCTTTCAGATATTACCCTTCCTTTCACAAACACAAACAAATTCATACTGGAGGGAAACCCTTCGAATGCAAACAATGTGGTAAAGCCTTCAGTCATTACAATTCCTTACAGTCACATGGAAGAACTCACACTGGAGAGAAACCCTACAAATGCAAGGAATGTGGGAAAGCCCTCTCCCATCACCAAACCTTGAGAGTACACATGAGACTGCACACTGGAGAGAAACCCTATGAATGCTCACAGTGCAGTAGAGCTTTCAGATATTACACTTCCTTCCAAAAGCACAAACGAATTCACACTGAGAAGAAATTTTATGAATAAGGAATATAGAGAAGCCTTTGGTCAACCAGCTTCACTTTGAAAATGTTAAAGAAACCACACTGGAGAGAAAACCTATCAGTGTAAACAAGGTGGGAAAACCTTAAGATATTTTCAAAGTTTGCAAACACATGGAAGGGTTCCCATAGAATAGAAACCTTGTAAACCATGTGGGAAGTCCTGCAAAAATTATACCTCCTTAGAAATGCATGAAAGAATTCATACTGAAAAGAAACCCTGTGACTGTAAGGGATATGGAAAAGCCTTCAGATGTTACCAGAGGTTTTTATTTCTTTTTGATGACTTGAAAAAGATCAGAGTGGAGGGAGTATGGTAAAGCCTTCATTTGTCACAAACCATTTGAAGAGAGTGCACACTGGAGAGATACTGTATAATGTAAAAAAATGTCAGAAAACTTTCAGTCATTCCAATTCCAAAAGAATGAAAGGACTCACTGGACAAAAACTCCTGAGTTAAACAGTTTCGGAAAGATTTCAATGAGCCCACATCTTTACATGTGAAAACTCACATTGGAAAGAAATATAAGTAATATGAGAAAGCTTGATGAAAATTTATGTGTAACAGGAAAAAGTTATTAAAGTTGGAAATACATTGTGTTTATCAATCCTCTTTCTTAAAGTGCACTATTGGACAGTGGATTTCTAGTAATTACTCTCAGAAATGAATATGAGGGGAGATGACTCTGTGAGTCATGTTTCCACAGTGGTACATAAAATTAATAGATAGAACTTTTTCTTTAAATCAGTTTTATTTTCTCTTTTCTTCTTGAAGCCAGTTGGATCATAGGTGAATCAGAGTAAATGCCTAATAATTCAATTAGGTTAAAATTGTTTTATAATGTTTGATTTGCTCTGTGTTAAGGGCCCACTGAGAAATGACAGTTTGGTATTTGGATTTTCCTAACAGCCTTACGGCAGTTCTCGGATATCTCTAGTCCAATATATATATTTATCTTTCTTACCAAGCTCTTTTGTTGGAGTGAAGAGTATAAGAGCCTTTTAACATTTTCTATGCTAATAAACTGTTCAATAAATATTTGTGTACACCTCACTTATAAATGAATATAGTTTCTATGTGAATAATTATTTTCATATTTATATCTTGCTTTGTATCTTTCCTTCTGACTATAATTTGGTGAATAGACGGAATTAAGAAGAGTGGCCTAGGAACTTCCCTGGTGGTCCAGTGGTTAAGAATCTTTCTTGCAATGCAGGGGACCTGGGTTTGATCCCTGCGCAAGGAACTAAGAACCCACATGCCGCAGAGCAACTGAGCCTGTGTGCCTCAGTGAAAGATCCCACATAATGCAATGAAGATCCCCTATGCTCCAACTAAGACCCAGTGCAGCCAAGTAAATAAATAAAAAAGAAGAGAGGCTTATGGTGGGCAACAAAATCTAAAGCTAGAGCTATCCTCTCTGTAGGTAATGTTAGGAATTAGATTTTCCAGAACTCATCCTCTTTATGGTTCCCTGTTAGAGTCCACCAATAGTGTGACTTGCCAGAGATTTGGAAAGCAGAAACTTAGTTTAACAACAACAACTTAGTTTAACCCAACAACTGGGTCTTAGTTGGAGCATAGGGGATCTTCATTGCATTATGTGGGATCTTTCACTGAGGCACACAGGCTCAGTTGCTTTGCAGTATGTGGGTTCTTAGTTCCCTGCGCAGGGATCAAACCCAGGTCCCCTGCATTGCAAGGAAGATTCTTAACCACTGGACCACCAGGGAAGTTCCTAGGCCACTCTTCTTAATTCCAAGGAAGGTATTAGTCATTTCACAGTTACCATATTTAAAGAGAGCCAAACGCATAGGAGCTTCAAGTATACTATCTTCCAGCCCATTTTCTACATTTTTTCCTTCCAGTCAAGTATCCTCAAAACCACCACTAACTGTTCGACATCCATTTTCTGAGATATGTACATGCTGCAACTAAGACCTGATGCAGCCAAATAAATATTTAAATAAAACTTTTTTTAAAAGAAAAAATACTAGAGCTATTTGTGTCCCCTTTCAAAGTGTTGCGTAAATAAGTAAGCAGGTGTATCTGATAATATGCAGTGCCTGTGGTCTCTGTGGTCAATGGGATATGCCCATGACGTGGGTTCTGATGAATGTTTCTGTCACTCTGCCCCTGCTGTTAGGTCAGTTTTTCAGAGTGGAATAGGCTTTGGTTTCTAAAGATGTTTTGAAGTAAGCAGGCCTAAGTAGGCCTGATTTGGGAAACGATGACTTGGAAATGGTTTGTGGATGGCCATGGAGGGAACTGATGGAGATGCACTTGAATGAGGATGTCCCCAGCAAATTCCACTTGAGATACACCTTTAGGTTTCAGAACCACAGTATTTCCAGAGATCTGTTCGAGGAAGCTGACTTAGACTCACAGACAGACCTGGGAGCCCTCTCACTTCACTCCTAGTTATGTGATGAAACGAGGAGAGGTGCAGCCCTAGTGGGTGTTCAGACAGGGTTGCAAAAAAGGCCTGTTGTGACCCATGTCCTTCTGCCCCAGTCCTTCAGCCCCAGTCCTTCAGTTCTTCCTACAAAGAATCTCAGAGTGGTGGGGAAAAAAGTTGAACACTTGAAGTTCAGGAGAGTTTAATATTCTCCTAGCATACAAAGGCATTTGTGTCATTTTCTTTCTTCTTATCTACCTATCTATATATAAGTATAAAAGCTTTATATATATTTATAAAAGTTCATAAAAACTCAGAGCTATTACTTTTGTCTCCTACTCTCACACAACAGATGCTGGAGGTCTAAGCATATGGAAATGAAACCTCGAATAGTAAAACAGGCCAATGAATCACTGATGCACAAGACTTCCAACCACTCCTGCAATAAAAAGACACAAAAGTTCTCATTTCTCCTTTTATACTAAATTAGGATATTACCCAAAGTAATACCCTCTCTCTACAGCTCACCTCAGTTATTCCTTGTATGATTGCCTCTAAACATCCACTATTTTTTTTTTCATGTTTCCACTGGGAAATCAACAGACTTGAGTAGTCATCACTCTATTCATACAATAAACTCAGGATGGGTTTGAACAGTGCAGATGAATGTATTTCCCTAAATAGAAGGAACTCCATGCTTTAATAAGGTAAACATTGTTAATTGGTGTGTTAAGCAGCAACATGAAAGTACCAAATACTGTAACAATTCTTAAAAGTTAAAGGTAAATTAAAATCCCCTCGAATGAGGTGGTTAAAAATAAAACCACCACAAACAACATGGCCCAAATCACTAGGAAGTTCTGAGAGCCAATGTCCAAACTCATGAGCACACATTCTGTATACAAAATGTTTAACAGTTGCAAAATTGAAGAGGAACCATGTCTGTATCTTTCTCTTTACAGGGAATCTTTACTGTTAATTACAAGAATGCAGAATTTCTATATTGATGCAACCTGTTTACTGACACAGCTTCCCAGGTGGTTCAGTGGTAAAGAATCTGCCTGCCAATTAGGAGATGCAGATTTGATCTCTGGGTCAGGACGGTCCCCTGGGGAAGGAGATTCAATCCACTCCAGTATTCTTGCCTGAAAAATCCCTTGGACAGAGGGGCCTGGTGGCCTACAGTCCCTGGGGTTGCAAGAGTTGGACATGACTTGGTGACTAAACAATTACTTACACAGCCAAGGAGTTCCTGAAGAAGTATTACAGATGTATTATGTCATAGAAACTCAGTGATCAATAATGACATCACCATTCACTGAGGCGCCTACCCTCAGTGAAAAGATATATATACACCCCAGTTTCCCTATTATCTCACATTATTTTACGTTCCATCAAAGCCTTCATTTCCTAACCATGTCTCTTTTCCCACAAAAATATTATCGGGGCTGCAAGAAGTTGTCTCATGCTGCTGTATCGAAGTCCTACAATGCCTGATTACTTGTGCTAATGGGGCACCTTGGCTCTAAAGTGCACAGCAATATGTGTGTGTGTGCTTAGTCGCTCAGTCGTGTCTGACTCTTCGAGACCCCATGGACTGTAGCCTACCAGGCTCCTCTGTCCGTGGGGATTCTCCAGGCAAGAATACTGGAGTGCGTTGCATGCCCTCCTCCAGGGAATCTTCCCAACCCAGGGATCAAACCCAGATTTCCCACACTGCAGGCGGATTCTTTACCATCTGAGACACCAAGGAAGCTGAGGGATGTTGAAACATTAGCATCAAGAGTATGGTCTCTTGACTGGAACAGTGTCCTGTCTTTCTGTCTTGCTAGGTCTGTGTTCTCTCATAACTTATTGAAACTTTGCCAAAATAAATGAAGCAAAAGAGAAATGAAGGGAAAAACAAGTAACAGTAATTGGAGACTCCAGCATCTCACTTCAATGTTATGTACACAAGTAGGCAAAATATCGACATGAAAATAAAAGACTTGTGAAACACTGTAAGTACATCTAATGTGATTACAGAACACTGCCCCATGTGTCAAAGAAATCCATAGAGAAGTGCTAAAAGATCTCAAATCAATAATCTTACCTTGTACCTTTTCACACTTGAAAGAATGGGCAACCAACACCACCACTCCCAAGGAGATGAAGGAAATAAAAAAAGAGCAAAAAATAGAGAATAGAAACAGCATACAGAAAATCGAGAAAATCAAAAGTGGGTTGTTTGAAAAAAATAAAATTGACAAACCTTTAGCTAGACTGACAGAAAGTGAGAAGAAGAAAATTCCTAAAATCAGACACAGAGACTATTTCACCAACCTTACAGCAATAAAAAGGATTATAAAGAAATTTAGGGGAATTCCAGTGGTTAGGACTCTCTACTTCCACTGCAGGGGTCAGGGGCTTGATCCCTGGTCAGGGAACAAAGATCTCAAATGTCTTGCATTGCGACCAATAAAACAAAAACATTATAAAGGAATTCAGTGAGCCTCCAACTAATAAAAATAAATGGAAAAAAAAAAGGAATTCAGTGAACAACAGTATCACAACAAATTAGATAACTTAGATGAAATGGACAAATCTCTAAAAAATAATACATTTTACAGAAAATAAGGGGGGGGGGGGGGATTTTCTTATTGTAAGTGTAACAAGTGACCTGGTTGAATTACTAACAAAAAAACTACTCGAAAAGAAAACCCAGACCTAAATGGCTTTACCATAGAATTCCCCAAAACATTCAAAGTTTTAATGATTTTTCAGAAACCCTCCCCCCAAGTAGAATCAACACAACACTTCAGATTCATTCTATAGGACCAGTATTACTCTGATTCTAAAACCAGACAAAAATGTTGCCAAAAAAAATCAAGAAACCAATTTTCCATGTGAAAATGGATACCATCCAAAAATCGACAATACTAAAAAATACAGTCCAGCATCTTTAACCACAACATGATTAAGTTGGATTTACTTCAGGGATGCTACTGCCCACCAGCCTCCTCTGTCCACGAAATTCTTCAGGCAAGAATACTGGAGTGGGTTGCTATGTGCTCCTCCAGGGGACTTTCCCAACCCAGGATTCAAACCTGCGTCTCCTGTGTCTCCTGCATTGGCAGGGAGATTCTCTACCATTGAGCCACCTAAGAAGCCTTTCAGGGATGCTAGGGTAGGTTAATACCTCAAATTCAACTTATGCAATAAAATGTATTAATACACTAGAAAGCAGAAATGGTATGATCATCTCAGTAGACTTATATAAAGTATAATTCACCCTCAAACAACATGGGTTTGAACTACACATGTCCACTTGTATGCAGATTTTTTCCAAAGAATATACTGGAAAAAAACTTTGGAGATTTACAACGATTTGAAAAAAACTTGCAGATAAACCTTGTAGCCCAGAAATACTGAAAAAATTAAGGAAAAGCTAGCTATGTTGGGAATGTATTAAATGTAGATACTAGTTATTTTGTCATTTGCTACCATGAAATATACATATATTTATTATAAAAAGTTAAAACTTATCAAATCTCATATACACATGGACCATACATGGCACCATTCACAGTTGAGAGAAGTGTAAACATATAGTATCTATCATAACTGCATAAAATTAACTATAGTATATACTCTAGAATTGTAATAAATTCTTTTTTGGCTGTGCTGGGTCTTCATTGGTGCCTGCTAACTTTCTCTAGTTGTGGTGAGTGGAGGCTACTCTCTAGTTGCAGTGCACAGGTTTCTCTTTGTGGTAGCTTCTCTTGTTTTGGAACACAGGCTCTAGAGCACAGGCTTCAGTACTTGTGGGACCAAGGATGGAATAGTGACTCCTGCATTGGCAGGCAGACACTTAACCACTGGACCACCAGGGAAGTCTTACTGTAATAACTTTGTAGCCACTTCCTGTTGTTCCTGTGGTGAGCTCAAGAGGTGCAAGTATCCATAAAATATCATGTGATGCTAATCATCACTTGAGCAGCTTCTGTCTCTCCAGTAAATTTCGTATAGCAGTATGAAGTATTCTCTGGTGGTTCTTGAGTCTTTTTCATCGTGCTCAGTGCAATACTATAAACCTTGCTTAACACCACAAGATCCATAGGAAGTGCCACTAGTGATGCTGGAAGTGCTCCCAAGAAGCAGAGAAAAGTCATTGTCAAATCCAAGCTTACACTGCTCGCTGCATGACAGGCCAAGAAATCGAGACAAGTTGTTGGAGCAAGGAATAGCAACTTTATCCAGAAAGCCAGATGACTGAGAAGATGGCGGATTAGTGTCCCAAAGAACTATCTTCTCTCACTTAGAATTCAACCTGCTTTTATACTAAAAGGGTTGAAGTCAAACATTTCCTGGTTCTGATCAGACTCTCAAGGGGATGTGCTAATTTCTTCCTTCCTGCACCCATTCACAGGTGACCCTGATCAAGATGTTTTCTGTAAGCTAAATAGATGTTTTAGCTTAACGCTCATTACACAGCCCAGGGTTCCCAGAGATGAGCCATTACGTATAATTTAAGCTTTATAGGCAACATCCCTTTAGTGATTAACTTGTCCTGATCAGGATGTTTTCTGTAGCTAAACAAAGGTGTTTTAGTTTTAATGCTCCTTACAGGTGAAGGCAGGGTTCCCAAAGATGGGCCCTTATGTATATATTTGTAGGCAACATCCCTTTAGTGGTTATTGTTATTTAGTCCCTCAGTGGTGTCTGATTCTTTGTGACCCCATGGTTTGCAGCACGCCTGGCTCCCCTGTCCTTCACTATGTCCCAAAGTTTGCTCAAACTCACATCCTTTGAGTCGGTGATGCCATCCAACCATCTCATCCTCTGTCACCCTCTTATCCTTTTGCTCTCAATCTTTCCCAGCATCAGGGTCTTGCAGGAAATGTATGTATATTTTACCTCATAAAACTATTCAGATAAATTCATTATATAAATTCATAATTCATTATATATTAGAAGTTTTGAACCAGTATGTTAAGAATATCGAAAGTTTTCAAGTGTATGGTACCTTTCCAAAACTTTTTGTTTCTTGTTATATTGGTGACAATAGTAACTGAATTGCCTTTGGGATATCATAGCCGTTTACATTTCAAAATCTCTAGGCACATACTACGAAACTAAAATTTCCTTCTCACGTAACATGTATACTTGAGAGTATTATTGAACACATCGCACAACTTATGGTTGATGGGAGAAGAATCCATTTTCCCAGGCCAGGGCTGCAGGGTTCAGACTTCCCACCAGACAACTGCTTGGGAGGCTATGGGATTCTTTAGCTAAAATACCACATGTATGGAGGGGGAAAGGGGATGGGTGTACGCCTCGACGCTGTCAACAAAGATAAAAATGGAACCAGAAGGTTTATTACACATGGTGAGGATATTTTTCAGTGTGTTTGAAATCGAGTGTCATAATATCATCAGTGGCTTCGCGGTCTTCGCGAACTATTTTACCAATGGAGGACCTCACACCCTCTTTTTCCAGTTGGCCTTCTCTTGCTTTGGACAAGAACGTCGGTTCTTCTGGAATCCGACTCTGGAATTCCTTGTGCACACCTGTGTCCACACGTTCTGAAGTATCTGAGGAAGTTGCCACTGTCCCTCTAGGACAAGTAACAAGAGTGGTTTAAAAACAAAAGTCCCTGGAGGGGGGTAGATTTCCTCCCACCTGCAGAAGCTGATTCTGCTCAGCCACGCGGCCTCCGGACCAATTATTACTCAGGAAAAAGGGGGCGTTGCTTGAGAGCTGTCCAATCAGAAGCGCGCAGGGGAAGGTGGGTGGGGCCACGTCCGGCAGACCGAGTGGTCGCTCCTAGCAGGCTCTGCGTGGTCTCACCAGCGTTGAAGTAGCTCAGGTTAGTTCGCTGCAGCTTCATTACAAACGCTGTGAGCTGCAGAGGCCGCGTGAGTCTAAGGAATGACGCCGGAGAACCCCAGAAGGCGTGAAGTGGTGAGTATGCTGGGCGAGGTGTGTCGGTACAGAGAGGCGGGATAGGGATGATGAGAGACAGTCGGCCTCGGCGGGACCGCCTCCCCGTACAGTCCACTCCGGGGTTTGTTGGCTCGAGGCCACCTGGGGGCGCCTCTCAACCTCCTTCCACTCTGGCTCCCAGCGTGGGGGTGGGGCCGGCAGCCGGGACTTCGGGCTTCCCGTCCGGTCCCTGCAGGAGGTAACCTCAAGCCCGGAGCCTCTATGGGCAGCTTTGCCCGCACAGCCCAACGTCTCCTCCAGTGTGGTGACCCCGGGGAGATCAGGGGACCATCGTGATTTGTCCTCCGTGGCTCGTGCGCGGGAGGAGTTTTGGTCTATAGGATTCTCCAGTCCCTTCTTTCTACCCAAAGGGGACCCGTTTTCTCCTGAGTTTTCCAAGTTTGGAGAGCAGGGTTTCAAATCCTGAACTGTCTCCCCAGATTAACTCTTCCTAGGACTGGCAGTAAATCCCTAAATTTCCAAGATCCCTCTCACATTCCTAAAGCCAACTCTCTCTCTTCAGTTCACAGCATCTTTATCAACTATTTGTCCTTCGTGGTGTATTTCAAACAGACATATTTTAATTGTCTATTCTTTCTCTGCAGAGTTGCGGGTGGCTCTCTTTTAAACATTTATATTTGCTGTGTATATTTTCCATGAGAGGAAAGCTGAGGATAAACACCTGGAACCACGTTGTATGAAATCCTTGTGCTTCTCCTCCCAGGATCTCTCCTGGGTGCAAACGTCCTATGGGAAGTCTTTTCGCTGGATGTTCCCCTTTGGAAATGTTCCTGGGTATTCTTACCTGTCAGCACTACCCCTCCCCTGGTCTGTCACCCTGGAAAGATTTATTCATTTATGTGAGCCTCAGTTATTCAAAAAATTAAAATTTATGTAACCAGTGGAGACTGAAAGATAGTATAAAATATTTCCAGAGAGGCAAGGAATAGGTGAACTTCAGAAAAAAGAAAATGGTTTTTTTCTGTTACATTGTATTAAAAATTCTTGTTTCTCTTTTTCTTCCTCCCTGGAACAGGTGTAGTAATTTTCTGAAGTCTGTTTTTGTTTGGGGGTTTTTTTGTATCAGCTTTGGGGTTTTTTTGAGGGGGTTCAAATGCAATTCCAGGGCTTAGGCTCGAGGTGTTCAAGTACAATTTTTTATTGAAATGAGTTGAGGGATGAATTGGGAGATTGGGATTGACATCTTTACACTACTATGTATGAAATAACTGATGAGAGTCTACTGTATGGCATAGGGAACTCTCCTCAGTACTCTGTGGTACCCTAAATGGGAAGGAAATCTAAAAAAGAGAGGATATGTGTATTCGTGTAACTGATTCACCTTGCTGTACTAACCCAATATTGCAAAGCAATTATACTCCAATAAAAATTAATAAAAATAAGGTAAAATAAAATGTTCTAGAGAAATTAAATAAGATTATTGAAATATAGTTGATTTTACAGTGTGTTAAAGGTATACAGCAAAGTGGTTCAGTCATATATATACATGCGTATATGTATATACGCATGTATATATTTTCTTTTTTAGATCCTTTTCCATTATGGGTTATCAAAATTGAGTGTAGTTCCCTATGTTCTACAGTAGGCCCTTGTTGATTATCTATTTTATATATAGAAGTGTGTATACTTTAATCCCAAACTCCTAATTTATCCTTTCCCCAATTACTTGTTTATAAAACAATTTCTTGCCATGGAAATAATAATTCACATTTTCCGAGAGTAATAGATATTTATGGGTTTCTTGTTGACCTAGAAGAATACAATTTTCTTCCCTCCTTTCTACGTAAACACCAGGTTTGCGTGATTTTGCTGGAATCACAGCTCACACCCACAATGGAAGGAGCCCTTAAGCTGATAGAAACAACGGAGCCCTGGAAAGCTGGGGATACAAGTGCACATGGTGCAAGGGCTTTGTGGGGAGAGAGGATGTGGTGACTCCCTTTTGAAGTTGTTAACATGGTCTCTCCAGACCTGTTTCGAGTCATGGGTTGGAGTTTTGCATTCACAGTGTAGCTGTGCTCAGAATGTAATTTGTCTACATTGAGAAAGTTTGTGACAGTCAGGAGTTCTGAGTCCTGGGTTGGGTTCCTGCATGTGTGCTCAGTAACTCAGTCGTGTCTGACTCTTTGCAACCCCATGGACTGTAGCCCTCCAGGCTCCTCTGTCCATGGGATTCTCCTGGCAAGAATACTGGAGTGGGTTGCCATTTTGTCCTCCACGCGATCTTCCCAACCCAGGGATCGAACCCAAGTCTCCTACATCTCCTGCATTAGCAGGCAGATTCTTTACCACTGAGCCACCTGGGAAGCCCCATGTCCTGGGTTAGGGGTCACAAATTTGGGAGTTCATTTGAGTCAGAACCTTAAATTGGATTCTTCTGAGTTTTCTCACTGGGGGAACAGATTCCTGAGAAAGGGAGTGGTCCCTTTATTCCCTAAGGAGAGTAGGGCATGTGGCACTCCCAGGGTTCATTCCTGTGGCTGCTCCAGTGCCTACCCTCCTTCACCAGGGACTGACCTGGTCAAGCAGTTCTGTCTTAATCAGGAGAACCTGCGTGCATGCGTGCTTGCTCAGTCGTGACTCAGTTGTGTCTGACTCTTTGTGACTCTGTGGACTGTAGCTCCCCACGCTCCTCTGTCCATGCTCTAGGCAAGAATACTGGAGTGCATTGCCACGCCCTCCTTCAAGGGATCTTCCGGACCCAGGGATTGAACCTGAGTCTCTAATGTTGCCTGCATTGGCAGGCAGGTTCTTTACCACCAGTGCCACCTGGGAAGCCCCCCAGGAGAGCCTGGCATGTATTAAATTTTCGGAGTGTGGCTCCATCTGTCCTGTAGGACTCAGGCTGCTTATCTGTGCTGATTCCAATGTTTGTGGGTTTTTTTTCCTTTGGATTCTTCTATACAGTAAACAGTGTAGTCCTTTGGCTCTAACTTCCTTTAACACTTTGTAATTAATTCCCTGCATGGGAAATAACATTTTTCAGTTTCTTGGGCTTTAAAAAATCAGAGTTGATTGAGAGAGGTGATGTCAGTAAGGCAAGACAATTGTGGAACTAAATAGAATCTTTGTTCCTTTTAGGGAAGAGAAGCTCAAGATGTGAGATGAATGTGCTTACGTTTTCAGGTATGCATTTTGTTTTACATCAGTGTTTGTGCACATCTTTAGAGTATATTGCAGGATTTCCTGATGGCTCAGTCAATAAAGAGTCTGCCTGCAATGCAGGAGACCTGGGTTCAATCCCTGGGTTGGGAAGATCCCCTGGAGAAGGAAATGGCAACCCACTCCAGTATTCTTGCCCAGAGAACTCCATGTACAGAGGAGCCTGGCGGGCTACAGTCCATGGGGTCACAAAGAGTTGGACTCAGCTGAGTGACTAATACTTAGAGTATATTAAAATTTAAAAGGCTAGAGCAGGGGATTCCCTGGTGGTCCAGTGGTTAGGAGCTTTCACTGCCCTGGCGGGAGTTCAGTCCCTGCTCGGGGAACTAAGATACTACAAGCCATGCAGTGTAGCCAAAGAAAAAAAAAAGGCTAAAGCAATGGAATTTCTATCTTCACTGATATGAGGACAGCTAATCAAAGCTTACATCAGGGAGAGAGGTTAAAGAAGGAGAGGACATTTATATATCTAGGGTTAATTCATGTTGATGTATGGCAGAAACCAATACAGTATAGTAAAGCAGTTATCCTTCACTTAAAAATAAATTTTAAATAAAAGCTTACATCAATCTTTGAAAATTCTACTGTGTTTAAAGAACTAAACCCAAATCCTTGTTGCTTTATAATGTTGTATTTATTCCTGAAAATACTTCCCCCTCCTCGATGTGAGATACAGAGAAAGTGCAAACTGGGATGCACCTTAACCATTTAGTTAGCAAGGATGTGGAAACTTTCGTTCTGTATGGTTTATACTTTTGTAGCCATTAGTGTTTAAAGGAATGGCTGTGGTTTCCTATGTATTGTTGTTGTTTAGTCCCTAAGTTGTGTCTGGCTTTTTCTGACCCCATATACTGTAGCACACCAGGCTTCCCTGTCCTTCACCATCTCCTGGAGTTTGCTCATGTCTACTGAGTCAGAGAGGCTATCTCACCATCTCATCCTCTGTCATCCTCTTCTCCTTTTGCCCTCAGTCTTTCCCAGCATCAGGGTCTTTTGCAGTGAGTCAGCTCTTTGCATCAGGTGGCCAAAGTATTGGAGGTTCAACTTCAGCAACACTCCTTCCAGTGAATATTCAGGGTTGATTGCCTTTAGGATTGACTGGTTTGATACAAACGTTAAAATTAAAGACAGGTTATGAAATAGTAAAACATGGTATATATATTTGTCTCTGTTTATTTTCAATAAACCTGTGAGATACAAAGCCTAACTTAAGCAAAGTCACTTCCCACCTATCCTGGCCCCCTCCAGCTGTGGTCCTCAGCCATTGCCGATACACAGTTCTGATCATTTCTTGAGCTTCCTGTTAGTGTTTCTTTACATAAAAGCAAGCCATTGTGAATGCATATTTTCCATACCTATGTTTGTCCTTGTAATGAGTGGTCAAACTCCATATTTTTTAAAATTTATTGAAATATAGTTGATTTACAATGTTGTTAATTTCTGTTGTATAGCGAAGTGACTCAGTTATATATTTTTATATATATATGTTCTTTTTCACTATGGTTTATCCCAGGATATTGAATATATTTCCCTGTGTTAATATAGTGGAACTTTATTGTTTACCCATTCTATATATCAGGGGTCCCCAACCTCCGGGCCTGATGATCTGAGGTGAAGCTGATGTAGTAACAATAGAAAAGTGTACCATAAATGTAATGGGCTTGAGTCATCCCAAAACCATCCCCTCACCACCCCAGTGCATGGAAAAGTTGTCTCCCACAAAATCAGTCTCTGGTGCCAAAAAGGTTGGGGACCACTGCTATGTATAATAGTTTGCATCTGCTAATCCCAGACTCCCAATCCCTCTCTCCCCCACACCCACTCCCTCTTGGCAAACACAGGTCTGTTCTCTGTGTCTGTGCAGACTCCACATTTCTTTGAGGTTTGCTGACAGCTTACACCTTACCCCTCTCTCTTCCTGCTGTGTCCACCCCTGGACAAGCTGATGACAAAGTCTGCAGTCCTCTGGCATGCGCTTCATGCTCCAGCCATACAAGCCCCTGTCTGTGTGCAGAACCCTTGTCCTGCCCCCCCCACCCGAGATCCTCTGCTTGACCAAAGAGTATTCTGACCCTGAACCTTACCCTGGGCCTATCTGTGTAGTTCCTTGCGAAATCCAGTTTTAGCTAATAAATAGTTCCTTAGCAAGTCCAGAAACCCCACTAATAAGTCAGTTAACCCAGAGCTCCCCAATTCTTCATATCTGATCATTTTCTGTGTCCAATTGGGTTCCTATGCCCCGCCACCGCCTCTCAGGTGATGTGTACTCACCCTGACCTGCCTTCAGTAAGAATCCTGTGAGGTCAGTGTATCCAGAGCCACTAATCCCTGTTTTTCCTTCAAGTAAGTTTCTATCCACTGACCCCAAACCTTGCTCTCTGGCCATGATTCCCCACTTCGACACGCTGTGTTCAGAGCTGAGCACAGTCTCATTTCTCATCTTCTGTGAAATCTCAGCCCAGCAGTCTCCATACCTGTCCCAACAGTTCTGGATGAAATCCACTTTATCCTGTTTCTGTCATTGAATGGTTTTTTCTCTAACACCCCCTAGCCACAATCAAAACCCAGGCCAGGCCCCCATTCCTTGCCTGCTGAAGCCATTTCAGTGCTGCTTGAAAGGCCAGCCCTACCTACCCCGTAAGACCTCAATTATGTGAGTTATAGGCTTTTTAAACATTTATTTTCAGCTATGCTGAGTCTTCATTGCTGCGTGCAGGCTTTCTCTAGTTGCAGCGAGTGGGGGCTGCTCTCTAGTTGCGGAGCGCAGGCTCTAGGGGTCATGGGCTCAGTAGTCGTGGTCATGTGGCATATGGAATCTTCCCAGATCAGGGCTTGAACCCGTGTCCCCTGCATTGGCAGGCAGATTCTTAACCACTGGACCGTGGGGGGATCCGAGGATCTTAGTTCCCCGACCACGGATTGAACCTGCGCCCCCTGTGTTGGGAGCACAGAGTCTTAACCACTGGACCACCAGGGAAGTCCCAGTCTAGACTTTTTCCTACCTTGAGTGTGTGTGTTTGCATGCTGCACCAGCATCAGTCTCAGCGTGGGAACCACACCACTGTAGGAGACGATGACAGTTGGCACCGTGAGCAGCGTGGCCAGGCATGATCCTCCCCTGGGGGTCCGTCTTCTCTTGCTCTGACTTGCTCCCCTGCCCTGCTTCTGGATGGCGGCTGGTGCTGTGGGCTGCTCGGTGCTGGTGAGCTGGGGCTGGCCGCTGTGCTGCCCCGTGTCCTGTTGTTGACCCCACCAGGCCTGAGTTTTAGGATCAGCAGATGAGAGTGGCAGCTTCAATTCCTTGGCTTTGGGGAGCAGTGGTATGGCACTGAGCTTCCCTGGTGGCTGCCAGAACCCACCTGCCAATGCAGGAGACTTGGGTTTGATCCCTGGGTTGGGAAGCTCCCGTGAAGAAGGAAATGGCAACCAAGTCCAGTATCCTTGCCTGGGAAGTCCCACGGAAATGGCGGTTGCAAAAGAGTCGGACACGACTTAGTGACTAAACAAAGTATGGAATTGGGCTCTCATCGAATTAGTCCTGGGCCAATATCTTTGCCGGGATCTATCTGTGTGTTCGAGTGAAGCTGTGACAGAGGCAGGGCTGACTGGCCCTGATATACCAGTGAGGGGTGGGAGAGAGGGACTTTGCCCTGTGCAGGAGGTGGTTTCAAGGAGTGTTGCTCCTGAAAGAACAGTCATTTGAAAAGAGAGTGGGACTTCCCAAGTGGTCCAATGGTTAAGACTCCCAGCTTCCGCTGCAGCGGGTGCAGGATCAATCCCTGGTTGGGGAACTAAGATCCCACATGCAATACCATGCTAAGTTTCTTCAGTCACGTCCAACTCTTTGGGACACTGGACTGTAGCCCACCAGGCTCCTCTGTCCCTGGGATTCCCCAGGCAAGAATACTGGAGTGCATTGCCATGCCCTCCTCCAGGGGATCTTCCCAACCCAGGGATTGAACCCTGTCTCTTGCATCTCCTGCATTGGCAGGGGGGTTCTTTACCACTAGCGCCAATGTGGCCAAAAATTTGAGAGAGAGAAAGAAGAGAGGGGGAAAGGCAGCAGACAGTAGTTGGCAGGCTAAAACCGTACTCCCCTAATACAGAGGGGTCACTAGCGCCCTTAAGTTCCTCTGCCCCAGTCTCTATTGCAGTCTCTATTGTAACTCTGCCCCTCAGAGTTACAGGGGCAACATGCTGTAGCACAGTCAAGGGGTTAGTTCAAACTGACTTTAAACCTCAGGGCCCTAAGCCCTACACAGCAAGTTGTCATGAATGAGACCCCTATTCCTGCTGGCACATATGTGAGCCCCTTAGGAGGGAAAAATCTTATAAATACCACAGTGGAGATGTCACTGTCTCCCCTGGAGTATGTTCAGTGACTGAAAAAACAACACAGAGATGGACAGGAGAGAGGAAACAGAGGAAAACTACAGAAACAAGGGTCCACAATTGGACCCAACTGGAAATCTAAAATACACTAGAAGACTTTAAACAACCCAAATGATAAAGGGGTACTTTTTGGTTTCTGGGCCCCTACAGCAGAGCTTCTGAATTAATTTGGTTATCTGCTATGTTGCATTGATTCACAAACCATCATGCAAATAATCAGTGCTGGGTTTCCAGTTATTTTAGAATCCCAGTAAACCTAAGCAGGGCTTTCCTTGGTGGCTCAGTGGTAAAAGAATCCACCTGCCAATGCAGGAGATGTGGGTTCAGTCCCTGTTGGGAAGATCCCCTGGAGAAGGAAATGGCAAGCCACTCCTGTATTCTTGCCTGGAAAATTCCATGGACAGAGGAGCATGGCAGGCTGCGGTCCATGGGGTCGAAAAAGAATCAGACACAACTGAGCAACTAAACAACAACAACAAACTTAAGCAAGGAACTCCCCATAATCTTTGAGGAATTACTGAATAGGCGTATCTTATTTAATGATTGTCAGCCAGCTCTTCTCTTGCCTAAAT